GGACATCATGCTTGGGAGGGTCGAGGGACGGCACAGGAGGGGAAGGCCCTCTATGAGGTGGACTGATTCAGTGACTGGGATAATCGGGATGGGAGTGTCAGAGACAGTGTGACTGGCACAGGACAGAGTTTAGTGCTGTTGTACATAGGGTCACTATGAGTCGCAAGCGACTCTATGGCACATAACAACAACAACAACAACAACAATTAAGTTATTAAAATTCTGTAATATGTAGGTAATTAAGGCAAGAATTTCAAGGTTTCATCTGGCATTTCTGACAATTGCATTTCTGTTTGCATAAACTATACAGACATTTTAGTTATGGGAGCTCCGGTGGCCAAGCAGTAAGAAGATGCACTACAATCCCGAAGACATGTGGTTGTGATCCACCAGCTGCTCATGGGCAATTTCCTATCATGTAATTCACGGCTTCTGAAACTCTGCTGGAGGGTCAGCTATGGATTGGTTCCTCCACAAAAGCATACAACAACAACATATAGACATTACAGAATCTTTATATGTAAGTTAATAAAAAAATTAACTACACAAATCTTCCTCATTTAAACAGAGCATTGGTATACTGAGAAGCTTTGGTGGCAGTCCATAGGGGTTACCTATTGTTATGATACTAACCAGAAAAGTCTCCATCAGTTTGAATCTAAGAGAAAGATAGGTATCACACACCAGGAGAAAGATGGTTTACAGTCTCAGATACATAATGCGGGAGGTCACAGTAAGTTGGAGCCGCCTTGATGGCAGCGGTAACTGGATAAACATTGCAATCAATTGGTGAGTTTCTGAGACATCAATGAATCAGAGAACACGATTGCTGATGGGTAACGCTGGACATCAGTATTTTTTTAGTTCTCCAAGGTTGAGAAGTGATTATCTCTGATTTAAATTCTTGGTTTATATTTTAAGTATTTCTCTATTAATTTTAAATATTTGTGGAAATGTAGTACCTAATTTTAACCTAAAACATTTCAAAAATGGAATCTATAGATTTCAGCCACTAAGACTAACATAACTGAGATGCATATATACAAACATTTCTCCCACAAACCTCAGCAGTGAGATATTCCAAAATTGCAGCACTATACACTGCTGCTGTGGCACCAACCCTTCCATGGCTTGTGGTACGAGTCTTCAAGTGTCGGTGGATACGGCCCACTGGAAACTGAAACAAAAATTATCTTAACTGGAAAATACTGAAATTTTAAGTACTAAAGACTTTATTAAATTCAAGAATAAATTCCAAGGTATTATATATAAAATAAATAATTAGGGAAAAAGAAATCACCCTTGTTATATATATATATAACATGTTCTAGGAATCAGCCCCAAATCTTGATGCCTGCTTTTTTTGCCTTCTTGAGGATGTTTTTTTGTTGTTGTTACTGTTATATGCCCTCAAGTCACCTACAACTCATAGCGACCCTATGTACAACAGCCCTAAACTTTGCCCTATCCCATGCCAATCTCACCATCTCTGACACATCTACCCCCATTACCCCAGTCACTGAATCAATTCGTCTCATTGAGGGTCTTCCTCTCCTGTGCTGTTCCCCCACCCTCCTTCTTTCCAAGAACCGGTCCCTCCTTGCAACATGTCCAAACAATGTCAGACAAAGTCTCAGAATCCTTGCCTCCAAAGAGCAGCCTGGCTTCACCCTCTCCAGGTCAAACCTGTTCGTTTTCCTACCAGTCCATGGTATAGTCAATACTCTTCTCCAATACCAAAGCTCAAAGGCATCAATTCTCCTTCTAGCATCCCTAATCATTGTCCAGCTCTCTGGTGCATAGCAAGTGACTGCAAAGACCATGGCATGCATGAGGCGCACCTGTCTCCAGACTGACATCTTTGCACTTCAGCACTTTAGAAAGGTCTCTAACCACAGACTTTCCCATCACAATGTGTTTTAATTTCCTGGCTGCTGGTGACAAAAGAGTGTTGACTGTGGATCCAAGCAAGCCAAAACTCTGTGAACAATCTCAATCTCTTCACCATCCATTATGATGCTGCCAATCGGCCCAGTAGTGAGAATCTTTGTTTTCTTGATATTGAGTCTCAATCCATATTGAAGACTGTAGTTCCTGACTTTCTACAACAAGTGCTTCAGGTTCTCCTCAGTTTCAGCAAGCAGGGTTGTGTCATTTGCATAACGTAGACTGTCGATGATTCTTCCTCAGTTTTGATGCCACAATTTTCCTCAAAGAGCCCAGCCTCTCGGATAACCTGTTCTGCATAAAGATTGAAAAGGTATGGAGACAGGATACAGCCCTGGCGTACACCCTTCCCAATTTTGAACCATGCAGTATTTCCTTCTTCTTGTTAGGTTCCAGAAAGTCTACAACGACTATTACTGACCCTATGAACAGATCCTATCCTGTGCCATCCTCATCATCTCTGACAGTTAAGTTCACTGCTGCAGCTATTTTATCAATACATTTTGTTGAGGGTCTTCCTCTAATTCACTAACCTTCCCCCTTTCCATGGAGTAGCCTCTCCTAGCCACATGACCAAAGTATGTGAAACAAAGTTTTGTCATCCATCCTTCTGGCTGCATTTTTTTGCACTCTGGCTGCATTTTTTCCAAGATATGTTTTTCCTTTGGCAGCCCGTAGGCTAATCAACACCACAATTCAATGTCATCAATTCTCCTGTCATCTTATTCACTGTGTAGCTCTTAGATGCAGAGCAAATGACTGAAAAGACCATGGCCTGAATCAGATACACCTCAGTAGTCAAACTTACATCATCGTTCCTCAGTAATTTGGAGATGTCCCTGAGAGTGGACCTGCCCAATGCAGTTGATATTCTGACTGCTGGTACAAAAGGTACTGATTGCAGATCCAAGTAAGATGAAATTGCTAATAATTTTTTTCCTGATTTAAGCCATGCGGTGTTCCCTTGCTCCATTCAAACAACAGCTTCTTGGTCTAGATATAGGTTTCGTATGAGTGCAATTAAGTGTTCTGACATTCCCATTCTTCTCGATGTTAGCCACAGTTTGTTATGATACACGCAGTCAAATGCCTTTTCAGTCAATGAAACATTCTCCTGGTTTTCTCTGCTTTTAGCCAGGAACCATCTAACATCAGCAATGATATCCCTGGTGCCATGGCTTTTTCTAAACCTAGCTTGAACTTCTAGTAGTTCTGTCAGTGTACTGTTCTGGTTGGTTTTGGATGATTGTTAGCAAAACTTTGCATGTTATATTAATGATACTGTTTGATAATTTCTACATTCTATTTGATCACCTTTCTTGGGAATGGGGACAAATAGGGTTCCTTCCAGTTAGTCGGCCAGGCAGCTATCCTCCAAATATCCTGGCAGAGATGGGTGAGCATATCCAGGGCTGCTGTTAGGTGAAACTTGGCAACTGGTATCCAATCCTTCCCTGGGAACTTATTATCAATACCTTCAGTGCAGCTTTCTTCCTTCCTTATAAATGGCTCTTGTTCATATGGTTGTTATGTGCCACTCAGCTGCCTGTGACTCACAGTGATACTGTGTACATTAGCTCTGAACCTTGCCCTAGCCTGAGCCAATTTCATTGTCTTTGACAGACCTAATATTATTTCTCTGTTTCCTGAATCAATACATCTCATCTGGGGTCTTTTTCTCCTGCACTGTCCCTCCACTCTTCCTAGCATGATGTCCCTCTCCGAGGACTGGTTCCTCTTAACTACATGCCCAAAGTATGTGAGACAAAGCTTTAAAAACCCTGCCTCTGGGGAGAAGCTTGATTTCACCTTCTCCAGGTTAGAACTACTTGTTCTCCTGGGCAGTCCATAGTATATTCAACACTATTCTATCCAGCACCAAAACTCAAAGGCATTGCTTCTTAGAATTTTTCAGTGCCAACCAATTCTTTTTGGTACAGTGATTGTGTATTCCTTCCATGTCCTATTGATGCTTCCGGATCATTCAAGATTTTGCCCATAATCTCCAGTATTCAAACTTGAGGTTTGATTTTCTCAGTTCTTTCAGCTTGAGATGCTGAGTGCTTGCCTTTTTGTTCTCCAATTCTAGGTCTCTGTATATTCTGGTATAATGGTTTGCTTTGTCTTCTCAAGTTGCCCTGTGATAGCACTTTTACTAAAAGACAGGGTAATAGTTGGCAGAGTCTAATAGTGATTAATTTTATAAAATATAATGAATGGGAATGATTGTGAATGAAGAATAGTATGAAACAATGCATACAAACTTTTTAAAATTTTATTATTAATTTCAATGAAAATTTACAGAGACTTTGGGTTTCCATTCATTCATTGTTGCACTTTTCTCCCTGCCCACCCCTCCCCACCCCAGTACTCTCTTCTCTTTGAAAAGTAAAAGAAAAATTCTTTCACTGTTGCTTGCTGAAACTGAGGAGGACCTAAAGCGCTTGCTGCAGGTGGTCAAGGACTGCAGTCTTCAATATGGATTGAAGCTCAATATCAAGAAAACAAAGATTCTCACCAGTAGGCCAATTGGCAGCATCAGTATGAATGGTGAAGAGACTGAGATAACAGTTTTAAGTTTGCTTGGCTCCACAGTCCGTACTCTTGGTAACAGCAGCCAGGAAATTAGGAGATGAACTGCATTGGGAATGTCAGCTGTGAGGGACCTCTCAAGAGTACTGAAGTGCAATGATGTCAGGCTGGAGACGAAGGCATGCCTGATCCAGGCTATAGTCTTTGCAATTA